CTTCTATCTCCACTTAACCACCAGAAAACCGGAAGTGGCGCTGTGGTGCTGTGGTAGAGTGCTCACCTTGAGCTGAAGAGCTGAGGGACAGCACCCAGGCCCAGACTGGAACATAGGGGCAAAAAACAATCAGAATCCACAACAGGTCTGTGGCCAGTCTATTTCTGTTGGGCCTCCTCTGCCCTTCTCTCCGTGGATCTGTGGCTCTGACCAGCTGGTTTAGCAGCAGAGGTTGACACTGCCCCCAGCATCACGAGCAGCCGTGGCATTGCTGTCCCTTTTGCTTCTCTCTCTCCCATTTGACTCTTCCTCATCTCCAGAGATACAAAATGTAGGGACAGAACTAGTCCAGGGATGACACCCAGGGACCCGTGTGCTGCGGTCACACAGCATCTTAAACAGTGTTGCTTTGGGACCTGTGTTATCTGCAAGAACTTTAAAAAAAAAATGTGTTTTCCATTCTGTTAATTTTCTGGAGTAGAGGTGGGGGGGGGAGGGGAGGATAAGTATATCCAAATCACCTGAGAAGCAACAGATTCCATATCATTGAAAGTTTGCCCTGTTCAGTGCCTGTATTGGGGTCTTAGCCTGATGAACAGAGCCAAGGTGTATCTAAGATCTGGATGGTGCCTTTGAGCCAGGAGGAAACTACAATGTAACATTACGGTCTATGGAGAGGCCTCTCTAGTGCTTAAAAAGTAACAGTATCAGTTAACATTTAATGGCATGCAGTTACTCTGTCACAGGTGTAGTTGTAGTATTATTGGCTAGGACAATCTCATTATCCCCGTTTTATATCTGAGAACACTGACACAGAAATGGTAAGTGACTTCCTCAGTGTCTCACAGCCATATAGGACTAGGGCTTATATCTGAACCCAGTTATTCAAGCTCCAGCATCTGTTCATCTCAAAGTAGTTTCTCCTCTCTGTGGCTTCAGGGTGGAGAAAATAATCCAGATGCTTTGTCTAGACTCTGGGGAAGACCCCTCTGGCTGATTTTATGGGAGCTAATTATAGAGATTAGGGGAGCTAATTATAGAGATTGGATGGGAAAGCTGTTCTCATCTGTAGAGAGGCAAACTCTGTTCTAATAGCGTTTCATTGAGTTCCCTCCTTAGGTTTATTTGGATGTACATATTCATTTCAGCATTTCTAACCTCTAATGCCTCGATTATTCAGGTTCTTTTCCTTATAGTTACCTGGATGGTTACTAGTAGAATAACATCTTTGGCTTGTGTTTAATTTTACATCAGTAGGGCAGTCTAAGAGTTCAAGCTCAGTACAGGCAGGTGTGCACGTGTGCAAACACACACACACACACACACACACACACACACGATGTGCTCTGCAGTTGTAATTTAAAACTTTTTCTTTTCCTACATCCCAGAGAGTAGACCATGTAGCAGGCAGAGAATGGTAGAACATAGTGCATGACTGTACGTGAAAACAACTAAGGTGTGAAACTTGATTTCATCATAATTAACCAGTGGGCTGAAAAATCAAAGAAGCACAGTTTGTGGCCTGGAAGGGACAGAGACAAGAGCATGTGGCTCTGCCCGAGGGGTGCCGGGCAGAGCGCTGCCTCTGGCTCCCCCATTGTTCCAGAGTGACTTGTACTGAGTGTAGAACAGGTAACCAGCCTCCAGCCTTTGTGGGTGGGGTGAGAAGCTCAGAAGAGAAGTGTGTGCTGCTCCTCCCTGACTGATGTGTGAGCTGAGTTTCCAAGAGTGAATCTGTGTGTGACACAGGGTCACAGAAACAGGTGCGTGGTGTATGGTAAAGGAGCAGCTAAGAAGGGAGTCAGGGCCTCCACGCATCCCACATGGAGGTGGGCTGCTCTCCCCACGCAGTGGAGCTGAGTTGCTTACCAACAAGCCTCTGAGTAATCATTCCCCAGCCAACCAGCATCCCAGCCTAGGGAATCTGGTACTTGGGGATGATTCTGATATTTCTGCTTCCTAGTTTCTTACCCTCTCTTGGCCTGTTTCTTCTTTTCCAGAAATGTGGGAGCCCTCGAAGTCAGGGGTCCCCATCCCCAATGTTTGCTCCTCTGTTAGTTTCTTGCTTCCTTGCACATTGCGTGCATGTACGTATGCGTGTGTGCATGTGTGTGCATGCATGCGTGTGTGTGTGTGTGTGTGTGTGTGTGTGTGTGTGTGTGTGTGTGTGTTGGTCCTGGGTCTTGAGCTCAAGGCCTAGATGCTGTCCCTTAGCATTTGACCTCAAGGCTGGCATTCCACCACTTGAGCTGGCATTCCACCACTTCCAGCTGTTTGGCTAGTTCATTGGAGGTAAAGAGTTTCTCAGCTTTGCCTGCCAGAGCTCTAGTTTCATTCAGGAGTCTCAGAGCTCAGCCTCCCGAGTAGCTAAGAGTACAGGTGGGAGCCTTCCGCGTCTCGGCCCTTTTCTGCTCTTTCCCATCCACCTTCTACTTCGGCCTTTGCCCTCAGCTCTTGGTCCTCACATCATGGCTGCTACTCAGCTCATGTGTGGCCTCTTGAGTAAAGACCTGATGAGTCTGTCTGATTTTTTTCTGTGTAGATTCAAAAAAAAATCATTGTGCTTGTAAGCTGTTGAATGGAAAGATATTTGGCAACTCCTAGTGAAAGGAGAGACCAATCCATTGGGCCTTGTTATAGCCAGCTTTTGTTGCAGTGCTACTGTGTAACAACTGGTCCCGTGGATGTATAACAGCATACATTTTCCCTCACACTTTAGCCCAGCAAAGCTGCATCAGATATGGCTTGGGAGAAGTTAACTCTGAGCTTTGTGTCTGACTCATCACTCTCTCCAATAGCCAAAATTAAGCCAATTGGCCAAGCCCAAGCTGGGAAGGCAGGACTGATCAAATCTTGTATCTTACTGTACCATCCCTTGGACAAGGGAAGGAAGGACGAGTCAAGAACATTTAGCCCACCACATTTCCATATGTTATGTGCAAAGAACAGTCTCAGATGTACAGAGTGAGAACAGAGTGCCGTGAAGCGTGAGAGCGGCTTCTGCTTCCTGCGCCATTCCCTGCGGAACATTCTGACTCCTGCCAGTTAAGGGTGCAGGGTGGCAGGCTTGCCCACATTCTCACCCGGCATATGAGCCCAGCAGTTCTTCCTTCCTAACTTCTCAATTTGCTGGAAGCTTTCTGTCCTTTCAGGGGCACGGGGCGGGGATTCTGAGCACCTCACTAAAAGGGCCAAAGATAACATAAGAGTTCACTGCCAAAGACACCAGGAATTTGAGAGGACTGTTAGCTGCTAGGGCAGGTTTGCAGCTTGGAGGAGGAGGAGAAGGAGAAGGAAGAGGGGGGGGGGAGGAACTTGAGCTGCTGAGCTGTTGTCCGAATTAGATTCTGGGGTGCAAGCGGGGTTCTGAGCCAGCAATGGGGTGATTTCCTGTCTCATAGATCAGGTGACTGTTGCAATGAATATCAGCGTTGCTCCCTTAAAGAACCATGCGTGAAATACCCAGGGGGGGGGGTCGTCTGCGTTGCTCCCTTTTCTGCTCTCCTTTAGCTGAGAAACCCACAGTCTTAATTGAGAAACAGCCAGATGCGTTGTGACCAAACATGGGAAAGAAAACAGGGAAGTGAGTTCTGACCGGAGGGCTCAGCACCTGTCCCTGTGTGGGGAGGGAGAGGATGCTTGCTCATTGAAGACAAGAGCTGGTCCCTCTTTTCCCTTGGGAACCGACCCCAGGAAGTTGATCACACTAAACAAGTGCTTCACCGTGGAGGCACAGGCCTTGGCCTGCCCCCCCCCCCAAAAAAAAGCTGCTGCTCTTTGGAAAGCAATGAATGAGGGAAGTTGTGGAGCAGATAAACATATGGACCCTCGACATCAGTATTTTGACCTTGGTCTGACCTCTGGGCGTCCCAGAGCTGGGCATCTCTCTCTCTCCCTCTCTCCTTCTCTCTCCCTCCCTCTCCCTCTCCCTCTCCCTTCCCCTCTCCCCCTCTCCCTTCATTGCTGTCACCTCAGCGGTTCTGAGGACACAGTCTGTGCTGTGGTAGGATGGCCTCTAGTTCTGTCCGGTTGTCACTTCTCGTGGCATGGCTGTGGTGCATCTGTCCAGGCCAAGACGTCAGGGGTCCACCCACAGTCTCCCCTCCACTTCCTAGTCCCGCCCCAGACCTCATCTCCATCTGTCCACATCACAATTGAGGGTACCCAAGGCAGCCTCTCAGGGCAGCGGACCTGTGGGGGAGCTCTCCAACCCAGCCCAGCCCAGCTAGCTTCTTTCTTAACTAAACACATGGTGATCTCACCACTGGGGAACGGTCGCCAGCATTTTACAATCTTCTTGAGAAGATCCTGAAATGACTGACGTCAAGGACCTCAAGCAGCTCCCATTGGAGCTGAGTCAGGGTGGTGGAGGAGGGATTTCCCTGGCTCCAAAGCTCGCTCAGGAACAGCATTTAGGCAGAAAGAACAGCACAAGGTCTCCATCAGAGACAGAGGAAAAGATGAGCATTTTGCAGTCTTTCCTAGCAGGAAAAATGTGTTGTGACCATGCTGTATGACCAGCACCAGGGAAAGTGCTCTTAGCAATGACCAGTTATTGAATTCCAGAACTATATACTGCCTGGCACCTGTAGTGGGCATTGTACTCGGCGAGGAGTTTGCTTGCAGTGAGTGTAATTAAGTCCCTTTCTTACAAAGCATGTCACATAGTAGGAAGGGTGTACCCCAAGCCTGGAGGTACGAACCACAGGCTCAATACCCCGAGGACCCTGCAGAATGTGTTTAGCTCCCAGACCAGCACTTCAGCAAAGAATACCCAGGTCAGAGTATGGCCTGTTGGGTTGGGAGTTCGAAGCTACTGTTCCTGAGACTGGCTGCAGGTGGGAGATGGGGATGTGGAGGGGGGGGGGGAGCAGCGTGGAGGCAGCTTCACAGCCTGGCCTGCACCCCTGTGCCCCGCCACTCATCAGTAAGTGTCCCCCTCCCCAACACTCCCCCCCCCCCTCAGACTTCAGGCTCTGACCTGTGTCCTCTCCCCACAG